TTTTTCTAATTTATTCAGTTTTGGATTTTCTAAGAACTTTCAGTGTCAGTGTATGGTGGAGCTACGGATGGGTCGGCTGGACCACGCTCTCACAGAATACTAACATACAATAGCAGCTCAATGCTGCTGTGTTTCGTATAATTAGTGTAGAAAACCGGAGACGCTTTTAACTGAAAATGAGACATTCCATCTTAGTCCTCACGGGTGATAACGCATCTGCATTTTGAATCTTAATCGAGGATAAATGTAGATGTCTATAGGCCACAGCATTCACTTACCATAACGTGACTGTGTACTCGCTTATCATCATATTCTTTAAAAACAATATTGCACGCATTTCGGCTGTACAGAAGTCATGTTAAGGAATAGCGTTACATTATAAATAATTAGATTTCGAATAATTGTTAAAATAATATAAGTTTTGGGACTTTTATATATATTTAATAGTAAAAAAATAAACACCATACAAGCCCCGTAAACCGTCTGTTCGTTCGCCCGCTCTTATATAAAAAATATCTATTCAAATTACAACAAGATTTCATTAGGAAAAAAATATATTTTAGGTTATAATATGTATATGACCTATTTAATAAGTGATATACATTATAACGTAAATTATTAAATGTAATAGTATGTAAAGTAAGGGTCCCAATAGGACACAATTATGAATTGTTAATAGAAATAACATTTTGATATAATAACACAAACTATAGTTCACCTATGTATTTCAAAACTAATTAATCGCATATCTTTTAAATTCCATCTGAAAATTAATATCGTTAAAACATGTTTACGGCGCATTTTCTTTCAAGTCCATATCGTAGTCGTACTCTATGCTATCCGAGTCGAGAGAATTACGTTGCAAGAATGCAGAAAGTTGAATGCCCTTTAACAAGCCACGGTCGCAAAGTTCTTCAGAATGCAAATTTCTTGCTGCATTGCAATTTCTTTTTAAACTATTTTCAAAATTACACCAACGAAAATGGTTTTGAAATGTGTATAATGTGCCCTCTATACAGGAATGTCAAAGTGACATTTCGCTTCGCATTGCGCGCTAATTTTAAGGGTGTTGTTTAGTATATCTGTCTATTTATTATATCCTCCTATCTGTCTATCTCTGTTTAGACTAATGGTTGGGAGAGAATGCCCTATTGCATTATGTTCACCGTATGTACTATTTTGTGCATGAAAGTGTAAATAAATAAATACGTATTCAAAAATCAAACTAAATACATTAACGTTCCGTCACATTCCGGCCTCGCATAATTTCTGAGAGGGTTATGGAGCTATTAGTCCTCCATTACATGTTAATGGACTTCACAGAATCTCGAAATATTTTATTCTTCAGACATGCATATTTTCTGCCGATATTTTTCTTTACCGCCAAGCACCTGGTAAATCAGCACTCAAAACTGGTGCCACCAGGTATCGAACTCAGGTCACATGCTGTGGAATTTACGACAAGTCTGAGGGCAAATGCTAAATACTATTGCTCTACATTTGAATTTAGTAAAATACTTATTTTATTTATATTGTTATTTTAAATTTATGCTTTGATCACATTGATGTTGTATTTTTTCTTAAAATTAGTAAAATAATAATTTTGACGTTTCAAAATTATTATTTGACGGTGTCATGAAAATCGTTTAGATGAATGTTGTGAGTGAGCCCAATTCTATTCTTATACTACGCGCTTAGTACATACAAATACATAACTTATGCTTTTAAATTATGTTCTTATATATTCACCGTAATAATTATAAACAAATGATTAAAAAAACGCAAGTATCATTGCGTTATTTACTGAAGATTGAAAATTATCAAATAAGTAAAAACGATAAATAACCTAAAATACAAACTTTATCTACATAAAATTAATGGCCTCTCGATAGGTTATACCTCGGGTACGCTAGGTATTGCTGTAGAACGTATATTTCTATGACCAATGATGTCAATAGTGCCTCCCATAGAGTAACTGAATACGGACAAGTATCATCATACGTTCATATCACACCCCTATCGCTAGTTATTGGAAACAAATAATGAATGAGAAAGAAACGTGGCATCCTACCTCTGAAGAGCACAGTGTAGAGCAAGCCTCCACTAGCATGCAGTGAAATTAGATATCAGAATTATGATTCTTTAGCCAAAAAGCAATCTATGGAAAGCTGATGTAAGAAAAGTAAAACTCGATAAGTGCACCTCAGCCATTTTCTAAGCTATTAGAAATTCCGCTCCGATCGGTATGATTTCTTATCTGCCTAGGAGTGTATCTGGGTGCAAATTTATAGTATTTCTGTTTTTCTTTTTCTTTTTCAAGGGTTTTTAAATTTATAAATTTCAAAATCACACAGAATAGAATAGAATATATTTTTTTATCCAATATAGATTACAAGTAATTTTTGTTGAAAGTCAAATTTTTACTTTACCACTGGTTCGAAAAAAAAAGCTCTGTCCTGGGAAGTACCAACAAAAAACCCAGCGGGACTTTTTTTTAAATAAATTTTACAAAGTCAATGGTCACAAAATATTTACAAAATTTATTTTAGGAACAGCTTGAAAGCGACCACCTCATTCCCAGGGGTTATTATCAACTATGTATTCGGTTATATCATAATAACCCTTTTTATACGGTTCTTGTTTAATTAAATATTTAAACTTGCTAATTGAGAAACATTGTATATTTTATGGAACTTTGATGTAATAGTGTATACATTGCCCCAAGAATGAATTACTGACTCTGTGAAGTTGAGAAACTTGTATCACTAGCTTGTGTTTGTTTCTAGTGTTTACAGAATCTATATCACTTTTTTACTAAAAGTATCTTTTTTGTGAACATACATCATCATAGATATACTGAGAGGCTAAAGTAAATATATATATTTCTTTAAATTTTTCTCTAAAAGACTCTCTCGGTTTAAGGTTGTAAATAGCTCATATGGCTTTCTTCACTTAAATACTTACACTACATTAGTAATCAACAAGATATTTTTTCTAGGTGGTTTCGAGAACACCATGATCAGTTAATACCAATAGAAAAATCACCCATAAGAGACCGGAGCGTATTACTCGGTGGTGGTCTGCTCGGCATCCGGAACATACACAGAGAGGACGCTGGTAGATTCGTATGTTATCTAAACAACTCAGCTGGTGAAGAAGCTTTACATTTTACACTCATAATAACAGGTACATTTTACAATTGTATTGAACATTATGTGTTTTACAGTTTTATCTACATTACTATAGCTGCTATATATTTAAATACGGATCAACTCAATGGAGAACCACACAGTCAAATATCAACGCAGCTGCATTACTTTTGGTGCAAAATAAAATATATATAATATAATATACTACTACGTCCCAGGATATGGACCACAAATATTAATAATGAGCCACCCTTTATTCTTATTCAGCAGTTTTGTTTCGAAAATGGATGGACATATCTGGGGACACGGCAGTGCCTTCGCCAAGTCGAGCAAAAATGCGGCACGGCCGTACCATACTTTTCTCGAAGCTATTCAGGCCATTTTCGACCCCCTATAACTTCGTAGTCAATAAAGCTAGACGCCTGAAAGTAACCAAGTAGACATTCTATAAGCATGGTATATTTCAAATTTCATTCAATTTGAACCAGAAATTTAAGAATTATAACTAATCAAGGTTTCTTAATTTTATCACTCACTGACTGACCGATCATCAAAACTCTAAGGTACTTCTAGCAGACATACGAGTAGAAGGTTCAAATTTAGAATACAATTAGTGCTTAGTGTATAAATCAAGGAAAATCTAAAATATTTGTTAATTTCGGTCCAGTTTTCTAGATACACCAAATGCATAAATAACTTTGTATTCCCATATAAATATATATAATTACAAAGTTACATTTGCAGTGAATGAATCAGTGTACCTGTATATGTATAACAGGTGTATAATAGGTACGTTGTTGGTATTCAAGAAGTAAAAGGTACCAGAAAGGTAAAAAAGGAGGACTGTCTTATCTACAAAAAGAAATGAGATGCCATCAAAAACATAACTTGTAAAAAAAACAAGTCTCGCAACTCAGCTCTTCTACCGTAAAAAGTTGTGAGGTCCATGTAATACCAAGTGTGTAAATTTATTCAGTTCCTACTTAAGGGTCCTTCTGTTTTAACGTAATTAGCTAACCTAACAATATTCTATAGTGGCCATGTCAATGTTAAAAATCATTTATGTTTTAAATATATAGATTGACTTGGCAATCGCACTAAGCAATCTAATTTAATATAATATGTATTATTTGTGAGATACATTGTGTTTTCATGGGATAGCCGAGTCAATCTATATTTTTAAAACATAAAACATTTTTAACCTTGTTATGGTCACTATAAAACAAGTCTTGTTTTTTTTAGAAGTTACGTTTTTGATGGCGTTTTTTTTTTGCAGCCTAGCTTATCATGTTATATACAATTCTTCTATCTGTGTGTTTGTCACTAAACACCTTCTAAACGCCTAAACTGATTTTGATGAAAATTTTTGTGTATATTTAAATGGGTTCCTGGATAGTATAGATTTACAATTGAATCCAATAGGTGGCGCTGTTGTTGAGATCCAGAAATCACCCGTCACATCGCTAGTAATTTATAATATGATAACACTAATTTAATAGGTCGGCTCGACCGGGGAAGGATCACGCTCTCACAGAATACCAGCTTCAAATAGTAGCTTAATGCTGCTATGTTTCGTATGGTGAGTGTAGAGAACCGGAGACCCTTTTTACTGGAATCGAGGCATTCCATCTAAGTCATCACGGATGACAACGCATCTGCATTTTGATTCGTAATCGAGGATAGATGTAGATATCTATGGGCCCACTTATGGCAACCACTTACCATTTCAGGTAAACTGTGTGCTCGTTTGTCATCGTATCCTATAAAAAAATCTTCAAATGTTTAGTTTCTTTACATCTAATGATATTTTACAATCAAATGCACAAAAGAGCTTGAATTCTTTTGTTGCAGAACCAATCTCCGTCCGCATAAAACCCGAAGTAACACGAACAAAAGTGAACTCCAACATAACTTTCGACTGTAAAGTAACAGGCCATCCAATAGAAATAGTTTACTGGTTACATAACGGAAAAGTCGTAAAGCCCAATGAAAGAGTAAGGATATCAGAAGACGGTTTTAGAATATATATCAAGAACTCGCAAAAGAATGATGAAGGGGCGTATCAATGTTTTGCGAGCAACATGCGAGATCAGGCATACGGGATCGCAGAATATATAATTGAACGTAAGTTCATTTTAATGATACATTATTAGCAAATGTTTTTTTAATATAGTGTAATTCTTTATCTAATTAGGAATCCTCCTGGGTGAATTCCACCCTCACGCTTATTTGTGCAGCGAATAAACGAAGTCTAATTACATCCTCAGGTATGACAACACATTTGTGTTCTTTATTGTTTGAAGTTACTTGATGGTTGCTGATCTCTATGGATTTCTACAGCATTAGGAGGACGCTATAATATAAGTACCCGGATGACCGAGCATTGCTCGTTTTTTTCTTGGAAATTACATTTAGATACAAATTACATACTGATGAATAATATTTTTTGATCTTATTGACATAATAGAAAAAACTGAACTGGTTATTTGAATAAAAAATCATGAGTGCAATTAGTTTAATTAAAATTTTCGTATTTTTAAAAAATACTAAAAAAAAGGGCTCGAAATAATAGATTTTCTCACAAAAGAAGGGAACTAAAAAGAAGGGAAAAAAAGGAGAAAAAATCGGACCGAAGACAAGACGCGAACCAATGCATTACGATTTCGCGACCGCTCGATATCCACTTGAGCTATTACGATCATTAGCACAGTGCCAAAATTTACCTTCTTATATTGTAGCAGTTTTTCATTGCCTGAAAACGGACAAAAAGACATTTTCTAAAAAATAAATCCTAGCTAGATCGATTTATTGCCCCCGAATATATATATATATATATATATATATATATATACAAGAATTGCTCGTTTAAAGGTATAGGATAAAAAAGCCTACACGCCTCGTAGCAATCTTGTGGGGTTCGTAGGCGTTTCACACCACTTGTATTTCAGTCCACGTAGTAAATAGCCCAAATGCTTTTTTTCGATAATGCGTTCGGACTATGATGTGAATTGTTCATGTTATTTTTATAATGGAGAGAATGGGACCACGGTGTGCAATGTTAAAGTGCGTTTTAGTGGAGTCGCCGAGGTGTGTCAGCGTGAGAGGAACCATTACCCTATAATAAATAACCTTCCTGATCTATCCATCTATTTAACGTATAAAAATCGTAAGTCTGCCCATAGATAGCTCAACGGAAGATTTTTCCATAGTTGCCACGCTTTTCAGGCGATGAATCTATGAAATTGGCCTACATTAAGATGAGAATTTTTGAAAAGATCTTGATATTGATAGGATCTAACAAATGAATTTTATGTTTATACTTTATGTTATAATTTTTGACTTACTACTTAGCATTTTGTGTCATTTTGTATGTACTTTTTATATTAATATTTAAAAAGGAATAATACTCATTATGTTATTTAGATTTGTTAGAAATATTTTAACTAATAACCTACTAAGAAATATATCGACCATCGCAAACAAATAGTTGGTTGAATCACATCGTGGTTCTTTGATTTAAAATATCGCAGGTGATTCACCATCCGTCCGCATCGATCCGAGCTGCCTGTAATGTTAAACGCCTAAAACTCATATATTAAATTTTAATTTACTACAGTAAATTTTTAAACAAAGAAGAAATATATAAGTACATTTACAGAGTCCGACGGTCGACTTCGAGCCGTTGGTAACCGATCACGGCGCACTCCTTATGCCCGCAGCGCTCATAACCACGACGCCGCCGACTGGAACTTCACTGGTACAAGAGGTAATATTTGTTTCGATTTCACAACTAAAATTTTAGTTATAAAGTTCATGAACATTATTGTTATCATCACAGCCCATCACAAATATATTGCCTTACATTGCCAACAATATGGCTCCTCCACAGATTGCCGAAAAACACGGTCTTGTGCTGCCTGCGTCCATCAACACCCTGCATGTTTCATCAGGCTTTGCTAACATACAATCTTAAAAATATTTGTAAAATTATTTTCATATTTACAGCTATATTTCATTTTATATACTCCATTTGACTAAATATTTAATAGTACATTTATAACTAGAACCGTTGTAAGCTATTAGAGGTAGGTCTTCAACTTAAACAAAAAGCTTCAGTGATGCAGGCTCTCTTGCCAGAGGCGCATTGAGTTTCCTGTGCTGAAATACTAAACCCCATAAAATTTCAAATTAAAACCTTATTCTACTTATCATAAAGTCGTTTTTTACTTATTCCTGAGGCAAATATGCTGCATTGTGTCATTACTATAAAGTACTCGGTATTTGGTGCGTTTATTTTATACTGGCTTAATAGGAGAAGTCGTCGGAAAGAACAGGTTTTCTTTGCTGGCATAAAAATAATTAATTTTATTATTTGCGTACAGATATTTTTATGTCTTTTAAACAGACGTGCAAAAATAACTAAATTTCAATATTTTAAGCAAATTATACAAGCAAAGCTATAAGTACACATTTTTGTAAATTAACATATTGTTATCAAATTTTTTGCACATTTTTATTAGACTAGAAGCAAGTCTATTTTAATAGACGCTTAAGGACAAACTTACTGATTCCCCGGCTTTTCATTCTTCCATACTGCTACACATTATATAATATTTCATTCTTCATTTAGGTGAAATTTCAATGCAATGTCAAAGACACAGGACTATCAAAACAAGCTCTTAAAAATCTACATTACTATGAAATTATGCAATGATATTGGCTCCGGCAGGAATTCGCTTTCAAAAAATGTGGTGTAATACACTGGGGCATTAACCACTGGTACATTTTGTGATCTCAGTCCGGAGAATTAAATCACTAGCTTCTGCCCGTGGCTCCTCCCACGTGGAAATAGAAACATTCTTGTATGTGTCATGGTAAAAAAGTATGCCTCAGAGTAATCTTATATATGTGCGATTTTTTTTTTACTTATATCCGTATATCCGTGCTTGACTTCAAACTCTTTACTTATATAATATTAGTATAAATACCATGAAAAAACTAATAAATTAGTTAAATAATGAATACTCTAAATAAATTGTGCCCTTGGAGGCTAGAATCATTGATGAGCTGCGAACTTTATCGTCTAGTATTTTTTTATTTGTTGCTTTAAAAAAATGACCCATCGGTAAATAAAGCATAAGCAATGCTTTATTTACCGATGGGTTATTTTCTTAATTTTATTACTTATACTACGGTAATATTAGTCGTTAAAAATATAACTAAAGAAGTGGTAAAATTAAAAAATTTATACAACCGACTTCAATAGAAATAAAATGAGAACATCATCAATGTAGGCTAAGTGAATTAAAAACGCATTATTAAGGATAACTCAAAAACTACTGGTCAGATCTTGATCAAATTCATATGAGAACACATGAGAAGCACCAACGTGCAATAACGGACAATGTCCTAATTCGTAAATTATTTAAATTAAATTATTATTATAATTATAGTACTACTATCCCCCTTACTATTAGAATTAATTACTTACACTTATGGATCTATGTTGTCTGAAAATAAATGATTTGATTTGATTTGAATAAAAATGAATCATCAAAATCAATATACAATAAAAAATACACTCGAATTGAGAACCTCCTCCTTTTTTGAAGCCGGTTTAAAAGGGTGCATGCCGAGATACTTTCGCCATCCCTATTTCGATAGAATAGTGGATTTGAAAAAAAATATGTTCGGAAAACGAAGTTTTGGATTTCAGCGGTGAATATAAATATATTTTATTTTATTTTACTTAATTTCAACATTAATATTAATTAGATGTTGTATAAAATATCAGCGCAAAGCTATCTTATTATGTTGGAGCGATGCAGCGTTCGTAAGGCTAGTCTCTGTATCTCTCTATTAGGTAATATTGTACCTTATCTGACTGCCCATTTATGTAATCTTTATATGTATGTATATAATTCTTCTGTCCTTGTGTATGTGACTGAACTCCTAAACCTCTGGACGGACTTGGATGAAACTTTATGTGTATGATCAAATTGATTTTAGAATGGTTCAGATTCACAATTGTACCCGATAAGGGCGCTGTTGTCGAGATCCAGAAATCGCCCATGCGAAATTTGAAAGGGGAAGATCGCTAGTTTTTAGTTGGATAAATTACCTCTTTTTTGTTCACACATTTTTTAAATAAAAAAAACTACTATGTTATAGGCGACCGTTTGCATACTTCGCAAAGCATATGAAAAAATTAACCATAGAAATCCACCATAGAAAAAAGAAGAAGAAAAAGATGTTCCAAAATGGGACAGGTCTATGTACACTACCTCAAAAAAAACGAGAAAATTCTGTAGAATTCGGGAAAAGTACAGATAATTCATTTAAATGTATCCCGTCATTATCATTACAGCCCTTCACAATTCCACTGCTGAACATAGGCCTCCCCCAAGTAATGCCACAAAGCACGGTCCTGAGCCACCTGCATCCATCGACTTCCTGCAGGTCTTACCAGGTCGTCACTCCATCTAGTGGGGGGTCGCCCCATACTACGCCTACCGGTACGAGGCTGCCATTCGAGAACCTTTCTTCCCCATCGGTTATCGGTTCTTCGAGCTATATGGTCGGCCCATTGCCACTTCAGCTTACTAATCCGTTGGGCCTATGTCGGTCACTATGGTTTTACTGCGGATATCCTCATTTCTGAGTCTATCACGCAGAGAAACTCCGAGCATAGCCCTCTCCATAGCTCGCTGAGCGACCTTGAGCGTCCTCATACGGCCAGCAGTGAAGGACCACGTCTCAGATCCGTAAGTCATCACTGGCACATCATTATACACTTTAGTTTTCCGAGATTAAGGTATAACTGACGAGAAGATGTGTCGTAATTTCCCGAACGCTGCCCAGCCGAGTTGAATCCGTCGATTGACCTCTCGGGCGAAGTTGGACTTACCTAGTCGGACTATTTGTCCCAGGTAAACGTACTCGTCAACAACTTCGAGCATAGTGCTCCCAACAACTACCGGCATAGGTGTGACATGGACATTAAACATGATCTTTGTTTTGTCCATGTTCATCGTAAGACCTATCCGTTGGGAGACATCATGAGGTCATTGAGCATAGTGCTAAGGTCCTCGAGCGATTCTGCCATAAGGACTATATCGTCGGCAAATTGAAGGTGAGTGATGTACTCGCCATTGATGTTAATACCGTATCCTTTTCCAGTCCAGTAGCTTGAAAACGTCTTCCAACGCAGCGGTGAAGAGTTTCGGGGATATAACATCACCCTGTCTTACACCTCTCTACAGTTGGATAGGTTTCGAACTCCGGTTCTGTACACGGATAGCCATCGTAGCCCTACTGTACAAACACTTCAGCACTTCGATATACCGACAGTCAACTTGACACCGCTGAAGAGACTGTAGCACCGCCCAAATTTCGACGGAATCAAAGGCTTTCTCATAGTCCACATATGCCAGGCAAAGTGGCAGATTGTACTCTTCGGTCTTCTGTACAATCTGCCGCAGGGTATGTATGTGGTCTATGGTACTGAAGCCTTTTGGAAACCGGCTTGTTCTGGAGGCTGGAAGTCGTCGAGTCTGCGTGCGAGAAGATTCGTAATGACTCTCGAAAACAGCACGTAGACGCGGCTCAGTAGGGAGATCGGTCTGTAGTTCTTAAATAGAGCGTTGTCGCTTTTCTTGAAGAACAAGAACACCGTACTTCTGCCTTACGCTTCCGGAGTCGTGCCGCCATGGAGGACGGAATTGAAGAGCTTCTGAAGCACTTCAAGTACCGGTGTTCCACCCGCTTTCAGAAGCATCGCTGTAATTCCATCCTCGCCCGGGGCCTTGCCGTTTTTAAGGTGGTGGAGAGCCATTCTAATCTCGCTCAGACTGACGTTCCGGGATATCATCGGAATAGTGTCTGATAAGACTTGCTCTTGGATCGTTACTCACACTTGCATGTGGCTCCAACGATGATGTGTACAGCTGCCCATACATCCTCTCAATCTCACTCAGAATCTCAGGTGTCCTGGAAACGATGTTGCCACACTCAGTCTTCAGCTTTGACAGTTGGCTCTTACTGGCAGACAGATCTCTGGCAAAGACTTTGGAGCCCTGGTTCCGCTCGATCGCTTCTTTAATACGAGCGGTATTAAAGTTGCGTAAGTCTCGCCGCATGCATTTGGAGATCTGTCTGTTCAGTTGCCTGTATGCTGTCAAATCTGTTGACGATTGCAGCCTCATCTCCCGTCTAACAGCCATGAGATTAAGAGTGTGTTCGGAGAGTTTTTGTGTTCTTCTGCGGCGGGTCTTGTAGAACTTAGCTCCGACCGCATGGACAGTTTCCACGAGCTTGTCATTCATATCGTCCACTGCATTGCAATCCTCTAGGTACTGAAAGCGGTTTTGTAACTCGAGCTGAAAGGTTTCGGGATTCTGGATTAGAGCACGAGGGGGACGGAAGTTGACTTCATTAGACGAGACCTCTCCAACTTAACTTTTAGGTTCAGTGTGCCTCTAACCATTCGGTGATCGCTGCCAGTTTTCACCCTTGCGATCACTGAGACATCACTGAACAGTTGGCGTCTGGTCGTCATAATGAAGTCAATCTCATTTTTTGTCGAACCGTCGGGGCTCGACCAGGTCCATTTCCTGTGGGGCCGCTTCTGGAAGAAAGAGTTCATCATAAATAGTCCCTCTTTCTCCATAAAGTCGGCCAGCTGCTAGCCCCTTCGGTTCCGTTGCCCTACTCCAAATTTCCCTACCTTCAGCTCACCGCTTTCTCTTGTGCCTAGTTTTGCGTTGA